CGCTCACCGCTCCGCTCACCGCTCCGTCACAGCGGGTGGAGCTGCAGGATTTCTGCTTCACACACACGTTGCATACCGCTATTTTACTGTCTTTTTCGGACACCTTAAAATAATGCCAGACCGGTGAAGCCATTTTGGCGAGCTTGTTTTGCCGCGTACAGAGAAAAGTGTCATGTATTTTACGTCATGCGATCGGCCCTCGCGATCGGCATGTTTAGAGAGCACCGATCGATCGGTAGAGAGTGAGTATCGGCAGATCTCGATCGGTGACCGATCGATCGGAGCATCCCTAATGCCCATGATAAATTGTCTTAGCTAAACCTTGACCTAACTTATCCATTAGCTAGTAGCCTACCTTAGTTAACTATATTTGTTGTCTTTTAGCTAATTAGCTGTAAACTCGAGGCACTGGCAGTTTAGTAATTTGTTCATCACCCGTCACCTTCAAACAAGCCAAGAAAAGCCGGCATAACATGGGACAGTAAAGTGGGAGGTGCTGCTACCTGTCTGTCTGAAGGGACAGTAAAGTGGGAGGTGCTGCTACCTGTCTGTCTGAAGGGACAGTAAAGTGGGAGGTGCTGCTACCTGTCTGTCTGAAGGCACAGTAAAGTGGGAGGTGCTGCTACCTGTCTGTCTGAAGGGACAGTAAAGTGGGAGGTGCTGCTACCTGTCTGTCTGAAGGGACAGTAAAGTGAGAGGTGCTGCTACCTGTCTGTCTGAAGGGACAGTAAAGTGGGAGGTGCTGCTACCTGTCTGTCTGAAGGGACAGTAAAGTGGGAGGTGCTGCTACCTGTCTGTCTGAAGGGACAGTAAAGTGAGAGGTGCTGCTACCTGTCTGTCTGAAGGGACAGTAAAGTGGGAGGTGCTGCTACCTGTCTGTCTGAAGGCACAGTAAAGTGGGAGGTGCTGCTACCTGTCTGTCTGAAGGGACAGTAAAGTGGGAGGTGCTGCTACCTGTCTGTCTGAAGGGACAGTAAAGTGGGAGGTGCTGCTACCTGTCTGTCTGAAGGGACAGTAAAGTGGGAGGTGCTGCTACCTGTCTGAAGGGACAGTAAAGTGGGAGGTGCTGCTACCTGTCTGTCTGAAGGCACAGTAAAGTGGGAGGTGCTGCTACCTGTCTGTCTGAAGTGACAGTAAAGTGGGAGGTGCTGCTACCTGTCTGTCTGAAGGGACAGTAAAGTGGGAGGTGCTGCTACCTGTCTGTCTGAAGTGACTGCCGATGTCCGCACCGCTGTGCAGGAGACGTGGAGGGAGGGTAGAGAGAGCATCGGAGCTTCACAGTCTATTCTCCCGACCTGATATTTAAATTTTGTATTCAATCAATATATTTTTGGAAAGGGAAACTGTGTGCAAACAGCAGTAGATATATATTCATTTATAAAAATAAAAAAAAGGGGGAAAAAAGGGCACTTTCTCTGGAGGAAGAAAAAGGGCAGGGGCTCAAGCCCACTTTGATGTCTGTGTGCACGTGCCTGCTGTACTTGCTTCACTCAAACTAATCATGCTAGCGAGGAGGCGAGGCTTATCTCCATGTAGATGCCAACAACAACATTAACACATTTTGCCATGATTTATTTGTAATACACATTACATTACTTTTAGCTGAGGCTTTTACCCAAAGCGACTTCCAATAAGTGCATTCGACCAAGAAGATACAAACTTGAAGAAAACAGAATCATATAAGTACATCAGGTTTCATAGAGCCAAAACATTTCAATTGCTACTCAACTGGCTTTAGATAATACAACTGGCTTTAGATAATACAAATCAAAATAATACTACATACTGTTACCGGTTAGTAAAAACCATGAATTAAGTGTTCTTAAAAGACTGCAGACAAAAAACAGGTTTCTGATTGGAGATCGAATCGATCTGGCTAGACTAAGCTACCGTTGTATCTAGGGATGCTCCGATCGGCCGCCGAGTTGATCGAGTGTTGGAGACCCCTACAATAGACAGTCCATAGTTTGTACTTTTTATACAAACACTTATTTTTGTCCAGTTTCCCAACATATATATGGAACTCTGTGTGATGTCGCCCGAGCCAATGGCTGGTGTTTTTTGGTTTTCTGATTCTAAAACGTCATTGACAACAGGCTGAGATTCTCACGGCTGATTGGCTTTTGCGAGACATCGTCACGCCAGTGTTTCATTTTACAGGCTGCATACTCATTAAAAGAATCCACAAAACTGAGTAATCTACTTAACTGAATCCATTGCATATCAAAGTAAACTGTAAATGTTACAAAGAATCAATGTCTTGTTTCGCAATGTCCTTCCATGCAGCGGACCATCACCTTCATGCCGCTGAACCAACTGTTGGAGAAACGGAGATGGACCGCAGGTGAGTCTGACAACCTGCACTCACTGCATTTCACATATTCCAAACATGTTAAGACCAGCATTCATCCTACTCTGCCTTACACTAGCTTGAATAACCTGCCTATCAATTGTCATTCACACAACATTAAATGATGCCCAATAAAAAGCTGTGTGCTTTTATTTCCAGTCAGTCCTATACAGATTTTGTGACTAGATTTTTAGACGACTGGTCAGTCACTTTTTTTATTGGTCATTTGTTATGCTATGCTAAAGGATTTCTTTTCAAAATACGTTAGCACAGCATCATTCTTAAAAAAAAAATGAGTAGATTAGTTTATTTTGTTGACTAAGTATTTCTTCAGTCAAGACCAGCCCTAAAATGAATAAGAGGAAACAATTGATTATGGAGCTTATTGCAGCGATGGCTCAGAGTGATTCCTCTCTTCACAGGAATGCAGAGATAGCAGCCATTCAGGAAACGGAAGACCCGATAAATGGCATTACTACACTGGCGGGTGCCAAGTGTGCCATTGGGCTCCTCGTCTCACAGGTGAGCAAGTACTCAAAGATAATTTCAAATCACAACATCGTAATATATTATTCATATGTTGAGTTCGTGTTTCTGAAAAATCAACTGTTCCCTTTTCATTCAGCTGGTGAGAGAACTGAAGCAGGCGAAGGAGAATGAGGAGGTAACCCTATTATTTATGTTAACATTATCGTCTTCCATCTGTTTCCATTATTTTAATGTAAAGTTAAAATATAAATGTAAAATACAAGGTATGGATACTACAATAGTACCCCCCAGTAGACTTAAAATCAACTGGGGGGAAAAAATACTTTTTGCTGTTTGATGTAAAAGTGTTTTTCACCATAGTGACAGAGTACTACTACACTTTCTACCTTTACTTAAGTACAAGATCTGAGTACTTATCCCACCTTTGATGTAACATTCAATAAAAGATCTTAGCTACACCCCCCTCTAGTCACTATGATATGATATGGAAGATGGGAGTTTAAACAGGGATTTTGATTGGGTGAGAAAGGGGGGGATGGGGTAGTAATTTCATCCAGAGTTCTTTGAATAATTAAACTGATCAACTTAATTAGCTCAATTAAGTTGATTTGACCACGGAACATTGCCATATGGCGCAAGGAAACAAAAGAGGGGGGAACTAATTCAAAGTAAAATAATGAGGATTTTAATTAACTGGTCAGACGTCAGCAAGCGGGATGTGGAGTTGTAATTAAAAAGTCCTGAAGTGCTGACATGTTATCTGTGATTATGTGTAGCCCTGGTAGAAAATATATTTGTCTCCCGCTGCATCCCAGGTGCCAGCTGAAGGCACAGGCGGTGTGGAAGGGATGGTGTGGTGGCGTTTTAATCCTTGTCTACAATTTAATAGCCTTCTTTTTGTTCTTTTGGAGACTGTTAACTTTTATTTAGTATGCTAAATAAAAGTTAACAGTCTCCAAAAGAACAAAAAGAACACGGTCAAAAGACTTTTCCGTTTCCCCGTCCCATCACCATCAGCTGTGTTCTATCAACCTACCATATATAGGCATATAGCCATGCACGTGATACTGACGCACATTTCATAACAAATAAGTGAGCCTTAAATTAATACATTTTAAACCATAGTGTGACTCACAAAAATACCTAATTAATTAAGAGTTCAATCTTTATATTATTATTAAGCCTAACATTCAGACAATAATAACTAAATGAAAATGGCTCTAACAGATGGGTGGAAGCACCTCTGCCCAGCTGTCTGCCTGAAGGGCAGAATCCAGTCTTGTGGCTTCATAATTTTGAACATGCCAAATTGGGGATCCACTTCACCCCCACCAGGCATGACGGCCCACTTCACCGACCCAGGTACTGACCCCCTCCCCCTCCTCTGTGTCCATCCGGTTGGATTATCTTCTATCCAACACTTCAGTACTGTAGTCAGCTGACAAACACACAACACTGTCTCTGTCTACTTTCTCTTTATTTATGATCTATCCCTTTAGGCAGCTAAAGACAACTTTTGTGTTCCTTGGGTCACTTTCTAAAAATGCTGCATGCATGACCACTTGTAAATGATGGCGTATACTCTGTTGTCTTCTTGTTTATCATTAAGGGCAGGCAAGTGTAACATAATAAATGATTTCTCTCCCTTTCTGTGTTTCCACTCATCCTAACCATCTGTGCCCTGTGTCCAGTTTCAGGTGCAGGGTCAGAGTGGGGGGCGTGCCCTACCCAGAAGCCAGGGGCTGGAGTGAGAAGGCAGCCCGCCGGCTGGCAGCAGAGGAAGCTGTAAAGGTATTTTATGAGGTGAGGACTCGGCGGCAGAGAATAAACTCAAGTTCTTTATATAGGAGGGAAGAGAGGGGCTTTGCACATCTTCAGAATGAGTATAATGTCTTTAGAAAACTAGCAGATCGCCCTGGAGGCTGAAATAAATTATTGTGTGGCCTCTGTCACGCTGTTCTGCTCAATTTGCTCAATACTGTTCAAATCTCTCCTTCACCCTGCAGTGTACTACTGTCAATATAGGAACTACATTATGTTTCCCTGTTCCTGGTGTAAAACAAATCAATGATCATAAGGTGCATGTTACACCCCACCTTTAAAATGACCCTATGGGGCTAAAAAAATTCCACCACTGACCCAAATAGAACACAGACACCTGTTTAAAATCATCAAATCCATAGGATTTATTATAACACGTCAAAGGTTTAATTATCCATCCTAGGATGAGAGGCAGAAACACAGCAGTCCCCACACCAGAGGCCTCTCTTCTGCTGCTGCACTGGAGCTTTTAAGCACTTCCTTCTCCAGGTGCACCTCGTCTGAACATCGTTACAGCAATGCAGCACACCTGGGTAGAGGAACCAAAGGGAAAAAGAAACAGGGAATACATACAGCCGTAACAGTGCAAATAATCAGATTCAGAAAACAGGTCATGACAAGATGTACGATAATGGAAAATCTACGTAAAAATCAAATAAAGTTGCAATTTCAAATTTAAACAAAAAAAAAAAAGCGATGCAGAGAAGCCGTGACATTGCAGAAGGTGAAACACTCTTACAAGCAATATACCTGAGCTGTCTGAGAAATGTACACTTTTCAGATTACTTTTTCTCAAAGTCAAGTAATTCAGGAAAAGCTTGCTCAAAGTTTGTTCTCGAGGCAACAGAACAGGCAATTCTGCAAATATTATGGTAGATATGAGAAATATGCCTCTGCTGAACACCTATAGATGAGAGCAACGCTACGGCACTTTGTGGCAAAATTAAGCCCACTTTCCGGTGAAAACAAAGCGTTGAGCGGAAAAATGCTGATTTTCCCGTAACATTTTAAAGTGATGTAAGAAAACAATATTTCTGTTCGTTAAAAAAATGTGTAATTACTCCAGAAAGCGGCAGAGACAGCTTTACAATAAAGAATAAGCTAACTTGTTAAATATCGAGAAGCACATTAGTAATAATAGAATAACAATAAAGTCAAATGAGTTCATATTTATGGCTAAAAATGAGGAGCAGCAACTTAAAGAACTTAGTGACATAGAAAATAACGCACTAAGTGTTAAGAAATATTATAAAAAAGTATTTTTTTCCACAAAATGTATTATTGCACAGTATTGCAAGAAAAGAGTCTATATTGCACAAGAATACTTTTTCCGGTTTTTAAAAGATAAAAACGTTACTTAGTGATTTACAAATAAAAAAAACCCAACGATGACTAGGTTTCTCAAATAAATAATGTAGGAGATACAGGCGTGGATGAAGCAAAACTTCCTGAAACTCAACAGCTCCAAGACCGAAGCCATTATAGTTGGCACCCCACACCAGGTTCGGTCATCCACCATCACCACCATCACCTTCTCCGGCCAGGACATTACCCTCTCCTCAATAGTCACCAACCTGGGTGTGAAAATGGACGCCCATCTGACCTTTGAGGCCCACATTAAACAGCTGTGCAAGAACTCCTTTTCTCACCTCAGGAACATCGCCAAACTCCGCCCCACACTCACTCTGTCCGAAGCCGAAAAGCTGGTCCACGCCTTTGTCTCCTCCAGGCTGGACTACTGCAACGCACTCCTCATCGGGATCCTAAACAAAAGCATCCAGAAGCTCCAGTACATTCAGAACAGCGCTGCTACTGTAGGATCCTGATGAGGTATGATTTATATGTGTACACATATAAATCATTAGTCAAAACGGGGCTACATTTGATTGAATTATAAAAGGTATAATATGTGTTAAACTGAAGAGCCGTTTGGGAGCTGAAAGAGCCGGCTCTTCTTGGTGAGCCGAGCCAAATGATCCGGCTCACCAAGAAGAGCCGGAATTCCCATCACTAGCACGCAGTAAGTACCAACAACATATATGTCCGTGTGGAAACAATACCCCCCTACCTGTAGTTATGTCCGTGTGGAAACAATACCCCCCTACCTGTAGTTATGTCCGTGTGGAAACAATACCCCCCTACCTGTAGTTATGTCCGTGTGGAAACAATACCCCCCCACCTGTAGTTATGTCCGTGTGGAAACAATACCCCCCCCACCTGTAGTTATGTACATGAGTAAATTAATGATCACTACATTATACAAATTACCAGCTGAAAAAGTTCCCTGTGTTTATTGTCCATGTGCAGCTTTCTTTCCACGGCCAGACATCTTTGATCTGGAGTTGAGAGAAACGTTTGGAGTCAATTCAAATCAACACATACTGTATATATCATCCTAAAAAATATCTCTTCTAGCTTTAGATGTATGCGCGTTAGTGGTAGCAGAATTACTTTAAAAAAAATAAAAAATAAATTATAAAATTAGTGGAACATTTAATTAAAATCATTTATGGAAGTACAACCTCCTAATGAATCAAACTTTAGAGATCCCAAATGCGCTAGATTAGATTGGTACAATTTAAGCAAGATTTGTTTGTGTAAAATGAAGTGGTCTGTAACTAAGAACAAGAAGTAAATAAGAGCTGTTTCTTTACTCTAAATTCAGATCTTCTTTGCTTTAATGGCGAGTCGCTTCCACTTGGAGCATATATCGCCACCTACTGTTGATTTATTGAATCTTCATGTTAAATCTTTGTCCTCAGACCAGTGTTTTTGAGAGACTCGAAGATCAGTTTGTGAACTTCATTTCTTGAGTTACTTGTGTGACGACCCCTGCCTTATCTCTTGTGTGTGTGTGTGTTCCTTTAAGGTTCTCCCTTTGGTCTATCAGCTGGGATTGAGGACACCTGGCGGCCGGTACCAGAGGGTTAAAGGGCCTGAGTGAGACCCGCAATCTCTCTCCCCGCAGAGGACCTGACCTCGGAGCAGCCACGTCGCTTCGTCTTTTTGCTTTTCCTTTGTGTTAGTTTACGTTAAACTTTTGTTAATAAATATATTTTTCATATATGTTCTTGTCCTTCCCACGCTTTTTGTTATGGCCAAGAGCCAGGCCATGACACTTGCAAATATTGACTTGAAATCCATGTCCTTGATGTTATGTTGTTCCAGTGCAGTTTTCAGAATGAGACTTTGACTGGTATATTCCGAGCAGCTAAAAAATACATGATGTATTGTCTCTGATTGTTGGTAACCATCACAATTGCCAGTTGGATGTTTTCCAATCAGATGCAGTGATGAGTTTAATCCAGAGTGACCCAATTTGATCGTGCTGATAATGCTCTGTTCTCTTCTACTACTCCCCCACGTGCTTTCCATTCCTACTTCCCTTTGTATCTGGTATAAATGTCTTCCTTTAGTGTTACTGTCCCATAACGTTTGCCATTGTTGCTTGATAACAACTTCCGTAAATGATTTGACTTCTGCTCTGGTACTATTAAATCAATCCACATTTTGCCAGTTGATCCACTACCTCATTATCTCTAATACCCAAATGCGCTGGAACCCACACAAATTGAACAACAATTCCAAAATGAACTAACCTAAACATGATGTGCAACATTTCATGCAGAATATCCTGACGACAGAATGACGATTAGTTATTTATACTCTCCAACGCTGCGCTGGAGTCAGAGCAAATGACCACTCTCATTGGCTGTACTTTATCCACTGAAGTGCTAGTGAGATATCCATCATCTCCACTGTGTACACTGCCATGTGATCACTCGCAATAAGGATACATATATTACAGGTTGAGGTAGTAACCATGGTGGAACAGCTGATATCAACACAGTTGGACTAATATTCCATTCCTTAACTTTGAATTCCTTACATAATTCTGAAACACAAACACTAAAACTTTCTTTTTGAATTTTGTTACTTTCCCAACTTGCTTTTACAGTTTGTTTAGTAGGGTGGACCTCAAATCCCTGTTTGTGGATCTGAAATCTCCGCTTGTGGATCTGAAATCTCCGCTTGTGGATCTCAAATCTCTGCTTGTGGATCTCAAATCTCCGCTTGTGGATCTCAAATCTCTGCTTGTGGATCTGAAATCTCCGCTTGTGGATCTGAAATCTCTGCTTGTGGATCTCAAATCTCCGCTTGTGGATCTGAAATCTCCGCTTGTGGATCTGAAATCTCTGCTTGTGGATCTGAAATCTCTGCTTGTGGATCTGAAATCTCCGCTTGTGGATCTCAAATCTCTGCTTGTGGATCTGAAATCTCCGCTTGTGGATCTCAAATCTCTGCTTGTGGATCTCAAATCTCTGCTTGTGGATCTGAAATCTCCGCTTGTGGATCTGAAATCTCTGCTTGTGGATCTCAAATCTCCGCTTGTGGATCTGAAATCTCCGCTTGTGGATCTGAAATCTCTGCTTGTGGATCTGAAATCTCTGCTTGTGGATCTGAAATCTCCGCTTGTGGATCTCAAATCTCTGCTTGTGGATCTGAAATCTCTGCTTGTGGATCTCAAATCTCTGCTTGTGGATCTCAAATCTCCGCTTGTGGATCTCAAATCTCTGCTTGTGGATCTCAAATCTCCGCTTGTGGATCATCTTTTTACACACAGAGTTTTGAGCGACCGAAACCATAAGAAAACTGTTGCAATTTGATGATGGCTTTCGTTTTCTCTCACCTGTTAGAGGTACTCCAGCATTTTGGCAGCGCGCACAGAGTGACCTCCTCGCTTGTGTGCGTCAACTTGGTGTGCCTTCCTGGTTTTGTTCATTCTCTTCGGCTGATCTTAGGTGGGCAAATTTACTCAACGCTATTTTAAAACAGGAAGGTAGAACACAGACCGCTGAAGATTTAGATTGGGCAGACAGATGTGAACTCTTGCGTCGTAATCCTGTGACAGCGGCCAGGATGTTTGACAATAGATGGAATTGTTTTTTGAAAGAAGTTCTTATGTCCCCTTCACACCCAATTGGCAAGATTGTAGATTATTTCTATCGCGTGGAATTTCAGCAGCGTGGCTCACCTCATGTGCATTGCTTGTTTTGGATTGAGAATGCACCCAAAATTGATAAGAATACAGATGAAGAGGTGATTCAATTCATCGACACATATGTGACATGTGAATTACCATCACAAGATGAGCCGTTAAAGGACATTGTGACATCTGTGCAACAGCATTCCAAAAGACACTCTAAAACGTGTAAGAAAAATAACACTGTTTGTCGATTTAATTTCCCCAGGCCAGCTACTGCTAGTACATTTATATGTCGCAGCAGTGAAGATCAATGCTTAGCAAAATGTAGATGTAACTTGACACCATGTGAGTGTGTAAAAGTAGAGTCTTTGGCCGAAAAAAAGGAGAAGAAGGAGTTTGCAGTTAAAATTCTGAACTCCGTCAAAAAGGCTCTTTCAAACGAAAATGTAATATTTGAAAGCGTGGGAATTAATCAAGCGATCTTCGAGGTCTCTGGGTCTCTGAGACCCTGCTAACAGCAGTGACTCTGCTGCCTGCATTTAAACAGATTCACCAGTTTATAACATTACTTTAGCCCTGATCAGAGCCCTGTTTTCTGGGTAAGACAGCGAGGTGCTGTACCCTGGGTCTCTGGGTCTCTGAGACCCTGCTAACAGCAGTGATTCTGCTGTTTTTAGCTCATTGTACATTTAACAAATGAAATATGATTAATATGTACATTATCCCGTCTATACTGACACGTTTATGTCCATAACTCTGTATGTTTATTGAGTCCAATGTACACCGTCTAAAAACGACAATTATGACTGAATTAAAACAGTTTGACAGCATTTTAACACTCATGTAGCCATGTTTGCAGCCCTGTTCCCTGGGTAACAATTGAATTACCCTCTCCTGTTGAATTAAAACATTTCCCACGGCTTCAAACACTAATATACCCATGATTCAGACACTTATTCCTGGGTAAATGTGTTATCTTTTCACCCTGGTCCTGAATTAAAACAGTTCCCCCGACTTTAAACACTAATGTACCCATATTTTGCCCACTTATTCCTGGGTTAATATATCATCTTTTCCCCCTTGGTGTGTGTGGCACCATCTGGTGGAACATTTGTGAATTACACTAAAATCCAAAACTTCAATGTTTTTTATCTTAGCGAAAACTTGGTTAGTGAAATATTTTTTTTGTCAATATGAGATGCACTGTTTTCATGTCCCATGTACATGTCTGTACATATGGCCTCACGCACTACTAACACAGAGTAATAACAGCATAAACTGTACTATAAATTCCTGTAATGTCAGAAGAACAGCCATTTTCATACTCAACTCTACCTAACGGCAAACACGGAAGTATTAACGGTCGTGTTTATATATATCTATGGTCAAATAGACCACACCCACATCTCTATAAAGAGCAGGCTGACACTCTCTCCCGCTCATTCGTGTCAGAGGCTGCACACTGCACAGACACAGCTGGGAAGATAACAACAAGCCACATTACATTTAAAGTATATGGAATCACACCACAACACAAACAAAACAACGCAAATCACCTTCCCGGACGGGAAGTACATCTGGTGTAGGGAAAATATCCAGACGTGGAAATTATCACTCTCCCAGACTTGATCGCTGTGACCATATTTAACTTTAAAAAATACACACTGCATGGTCTGATCAACTTTGCAGGGCCCACCTCGGGGAGAATGTCTAGTGAAGGGTCGAAACATTCAATGATCTGAGGAACCACTACTGATGATGTGTATAATATAAGGCAGGTTGTATGTACGACTAAACTAAAAACAACTTTGACGGCACAGGAAGCCCCAACTTTAAACACCGATGTCGGTCCCCGGATAGCCAGAGCTCTACGTGTAATCAGATTCTGTCTGGTTACCGGATTCTTTCCCCCACCCTAACCCTAACCCTAAGGTAAAAATGTTAGCATTTTTAGCTATCTAGCGTCACCTGTTTTGATGTCCGTTTTTGCTTATAACGTCGCAAATACGTATAATTCAGTGGTAATGTTGGTGTCACTCGATTCTGTGTCACCTCACGATGTGAAATGATGTGTTGGATGTGGTGAAAAGATAAATAATAAGGTTTTGTGAGCGATCTTCAGTGCCGTAAGGTGTTAGCATTTTTCGCTCGTTGCTAATTCAGAGGCTCAGTGTTAGCATTGGGGGTCATCTTTTGAAAAAAAAAAAAAAAACGATCAGTTAGATGAGTTTCTTCCCGTTACATGGAATTAAAACATTCATAGTTTTATTAAATGAACATGCCCTCAGACACTGTTTCCTGCAAGATGTTGCGGCAGTAGGGGAGAGTGGGGTAAGTTGAGCCATTTTTTAGTTATGCTGTCCTCTAAGCAAGGAGAAATGACACATAGTAAAAATGAAAGCACACACCTATAATTCAGGATGTCTCCTATCAATGGCAATGATAAGAATTAATATTTGATCAAGGGCAGTGAAAATATTACTTCTAAAAAAAAAAAAAGTCTTGTGGCTCAACTTGCTTACCCGGGTAAGGGGTAAGTTGATCCAGGTCAGGGGGTAAATTGAACCACTGTTCAAACTTGGGCATACCTGTTCAAACCTGGGCATACCTACAAAAAATCTTAAAGGTAACTTTAAACAATAAGTAACAAACCAAATACAAGTTTAGTTTTTCAAATATTTCTTATATACATTTTGATTGAATTGATTGATTTTTTTTTAACATGTTAATAAAAGGAAAAGTAATCATACAAATGGTGATACAATTTCATACATCTTACCAATCAAACACAGGGTAAATTCAACTTTAAATGTAGCCTACAATGAGCTCTTATTATCAACTTGGCCTACTTTCATTAATTTCTCCATTGAAAAACTGGCTCAACTTACCCCAAGGCCCATGGTTCACTTTACCCCATAGCCACTGTTAACATTCAGGTAAATATGTTACCAATTTGTGTTATTTGTTGTGCATGACTGGAAGCCAATAGCGTAACAGGTTAAAGGTCAATGATGGGTATAAATAAAGCCACGCCTCCAATGGGAGTGCCCGTTGAATGAAATGCCACTGTCTCTGATGTTTCGTTACTCCTCCGCTTATTTGGATGCTAAACAGCAATGAAGTTATGCTTACTCTGCTAACAGGTTATGGGCCCAGAGACACCCAAATAAGTATTTCCGGCGTTTGTCCACCGATGGAAAGTCGCAACGTAGCACGTGTGGTGGATTAGCAAGCTAAGCTAACGCCATGAGCAGGTTGGGCGCAGGTTCCAGTAGCCGCTGGTCTCGGTTAGTGTTTGACGGGGATGAAAAGAACTATGAACTGTGGGAGACGAAATTCTTGGGCCATCTTCGCTTACAGGGACTGAAGAATACTATTTTAAGGAGTCCTGCGGACATAATTGAGGAAGATGAAGAGGCGGACAGTAGTGTTACCAATCCCGCTTCAATTACATTAGTATGCATAAAAAAGTGACAGGTCACACCTTCTAAGTCCCGCCCCCTAATTATGCTAATGAGTCCCCTTTGATATGCTAATGAGCCCCTTTGTTCGAGGTGTTATCGCGTATAGGTGTTACATCCTCCCGGTAGCCCCCACCCCTCTCAGCCCCCACCCCTCTTAGCCCCCACCCCTTCTCAGCCCACCCCCCTCCCCCTCACATACAGGTGTTACATCCGCCCTGTAGCCCCCACCCCTCTCAGCCCCCACCCCTCTCAACCCACCCCCTCCTCTCCCCTTACAGTAGGCGTCACATCCTCCCTGTCGCCCCCCACCCTTGAAGATAGTGAGGGGGTGGAGTCAGTCATAAAAAAAGAAATCTATGCAAAACTAGATAAAAGCCAGTCATTTGAGCTTTGAAACAAATTGATATGATTCGATATTAAACCAACTAATTATAGTAGATTAATTAACTATTCAAACGTGTACAGTAATTTACAATAACACGGGAATAATAAACGGGTCAGCAACAGCGGGTCTCTCCCGTCAGATTAGACTTTACTAGATTAGACTTTACTAGCGTTTATACCCATATTGATCAGATCTAGCTAGTTCTAGCTAATGATATGACTACCTGCTTATTAAAAGACACCTAAACAATAAGCGTCACTATGCAACGGGGTGAGGCCACAAAGTATAGTACAGCATTATGCATTTTGTTTACATGCCCACCGGAACCCCGAGGCATTACCAACAGATCAACGCGCAATCAACCCATCAGGACATCTCTTGCTACACATTATGTGTAGACATTATAATTGACTATTCTTGTCTGTCACATACTCTTTTGTCTGTCACACACTATTCTTGTATGTCACATAAGTGGCGCAACTGATGCGGTATTGCGTTAAAGGGGGCCAGTCAAGAAACGGGTGCAGTATCTGTGCCGGGTTCAGACCCTCCGTCTGAGGCTCTTCATGAAAAATGGAGTCTGGGTGTGTGAGACTGTCTCCCCTCCCACCCCCTCCCCTCCCCCCTGCCTGTCACCTCCTGATCTTGCGATCAGCTGTTAATTCTCATTCACTAAGTCACCTAAAACTTTTATTGGAATTGGGTTTTCTTTAGAGCTGTTTTCAGTGAGACAATGCAGTTTCTGATCATTTTAAGTTTCAAGTTTCAAGGCTTTATGGCATATGCCCATTAGCTACAGTGTAGATATGTCAATGAAAAACATAGGTCACAGGCTCCTCCAACAGTGCACATAAAACAGATAAAATACTGCAATTTGTGCGTAATTCTCTCACAAAGGAACTGTAAGATACACGTTTATGTATGGAAAACTATATAAATTGGTCA